GCGAAATTCGTACAAAACAATCATTCTCAATAAGCACATCAAGCCTATTCTTTAATGAAGATAGTGGACAATGTTCATTAATCTTTGCGATATTCTGCACGCTGACACGCAGTTTATTCAATACTAATCTCGTATTGTTGAAAGAGCGGGAAAGTAGCGAGATAAAAGTAATGATAGCTTGTCAGAAAAGCGATTTATGTATGTAATAAAATACAGTTTTGGAACAATCTGTACCAGGTTTAAGCTTTTGTTAATAAAACTGATGGTTTTCAATGTACTTCTGATGAAAGTTTTCCTGGGACAAGTGATTTTAAAGATATAATAATTTTAAATGTGGGGTTTGATTTCCTTGATGATCATCTGCTAATATAAATGGTATATTGATGTCCGCTTGTGGTACTACAATAGTAGATCATAGAACTTACTTCCACCAGTAAGCTCCTAATATCTATAGGCTCTCTCTCTTCACGGTTTGATGGGCTTTCTTTGCGGATTTCCAGCACAGTAATAAAATAAAGTCACAAAAGGTTGAATGTCGGTTTACAAGAAGTTAGTGTAGCAAATCAACAGCTAGTGATTCTAAGTAGGCTTTGGAAGAAAAAGTGTGGGATACGTCACAATCAAGTAAAGCTGAACATCTTGAAGTGGGATATTTCAGTGTAGTGTATGACAACATCGTGGATAGCGAATTACAAAAATACCGGAAACGACATCAAGTTTTATAATTTCATCTCATTATAAACTATTAGGGTGATTGATCAGGAACCAGGTGGTTAGGACGCTCGACTCGCAATCTACTGGTCGCGGGTTCGAATCCCCATCCCACCAAATATGCTCGCCCTTTCAGCCGTGGGGGTGTTAATAATGTGACGGTCAATCCCACTATTCGTTGGTAAAAGAGTAGCCCAAGAGTTGGCTGCCTTCCCTCTAGTCTTACACTGCTAAATTAGGGACGGCTAGCACAGATAGCCTTCGTGTAGCTTTGCGCGAAATTCAAAACAAACCAAACCAGGAATTTCTGTAGCTAAGTTTACATTCAGGTACGTGGCGCTAACACAAGAGAGCGCATTTAGTGAAACAAGAACTATATGTTTTAGTGAATTATTAAATTAAAATTGCTAAGCAACTTTCAGTTTTGATAGTACACATACTTATAAGAGAAGAACCCATAACCGAAGAGGACTATACTTTTTTCACATTTTATATTCATTAGTTATTCTTATTATTTCTGTTATTTTAGCGCAAAGCAACACAATGGACTATCTGCGCTCTGTTCACCGTGGGGAATCGAACCCTAAATGCTAGCGTCGCAAGTACGTAAAATTACCGCTGTCATGCCGTGGATCAAAAATGAGACTGCAGGTCGAAGTCGTGTCGATACTGTGCGTTTTTATTATAGCAAAGCCATATCGGGTTATCTGCTGTGTCCACCGAGGGGAATCGAACCTCTAATTGTAGCGTTGTAAATTCTGAGACTTACCGCTGTCCCAGCGAAGGACATATGTCGTTATTATCCGCGGTATTCGCAGTAATAAAATTATTACAATCTTATACAACTAACAAATAATTTGATATTATTCTGTGAAGTTTACAATAACCGCAGACATTTTTCGTGTAAAGAACTGAGTTAAAAAATGTCTCGTTCCTTCAAAATGACATCAAAAAATATCTTATCTCGAGAACATTCAAAAACTGAAAGTGATGACTAGCTGCCTTCCCTCTAGTCTTATACTACTAAATTAGGGACGGCTAGCGCAGATAGCCCTCGTTAACCTTTGCGCGAAATTCAAAACAAACAAACAATACTACATGAGAACGAACTAGATTCCAGCATTATAAGTGCAGTATTTCTCGGCATGTAGT